GTATAATATAAACTGGAGGTCAGAACAAATATGGTATCCCAGTGGAGACTATAGAAGATGTCCCTAAGCAGAAGTGAGAATAAAATTATCTATAACGTCCTCCAAAAAAGTATACATCAGGAAAATAAAAACTTGAATACATACTTTAATACTAAATTTATTGAGGCATTTTCAGATTAATACAAGTTACCTGTGGCCTCTACAATTACAGGAGATGCTCAAAGTGGTGTCCATTAGCCTCCAGACATTTGCTAGTACAGTGAACTGCTAAAGTACACATACATTTTTTGGCAGACTCTAGTTTACTAATTATTATAAGAAGTTTTTCATTTGATCAAGATTTATTGAAAAGTTAGGAAAGTGTTCCTAAGAACATTACTGTAAAGGTACAAGTCTATAGCTGGAGGAGGACTGACCTTATTTATCAAAGGCTTTTCACTCTTTTTTTTTTTTTTTTTTTTTTTTTTTTTTTATGGTACCGGGGATTGAACTTGGGTCCTGGCGCTTGCAAGGCAGGCCACCGAACCGCTGAGCTAAATCCCCGGCCTTCACTCTTATTTTATAATTTACATTTATTGTAGAAATTTCATAAAGTACTGAAGCTTATGAAATGGTAAGTAGAAAAAATAAATCAGGGGAATTATAGAAATTGCTAAGGTGTGATAGAAATTGAAGACAGGGTGGCTACAAAGAACCTCAGGATTGCCTCCAGTTCAAGAGAAGCCTAGGCTGCATAGTGAGTTCAAGGCCACCTGAACTACATAGAGAGACCCCGTCTCAAACAAAACAAAACAACGTTAATTCAATATTCAGGTAGTTGAAATTGAAGGTTCCCAAGTTGGAGATCAGTCTGGGCAATGTAGCAAGACTCTATGTCTCATAAATACATGGGAGTTAGCTCAGTGGTAAAGTACATGCTAGAGGCCCTGGGTTCAGTCCCTAGTACTGGAAAAATAAATAAATAAGCAAAGCCATGTAAAACTATTCAGGAATTAGAAGGTTAGGTAGTACTCCATAAGGTAAAACTAGTGTCTTTGGTTGCTGTTTTGTTTATCAGTGTTGAATAGCTCCAGATGAAGATTCTGGTCATCACGCATGAAAATGCAAGCAAAAAGTAAAGCCAATCCCTCACCTTGTGCTTTTTTTTTTTTTCTAATGAGACAGAGCTTTGTTAAACTGCCCAGGCTGGGTTTGAGCATGTGTTTCTTTCCTTCCCCTTCCAAGTCTCTGGGAATACAGGCATGTGCCACCATGTCCTGCTGCCAATTCACATTTTAATACTCTTACTGAAACAACAAAATGATAATGTGATGTCATGAATTAGGTGAAATTACAAGAATAAATGCACACACAAGCTATTTCTGTTCCATTCTGCATTAAAGTTCAGGAAGAACCTTAGACATAGGTGGCTGAGGGAATCTAGCAGGAGGTAAAGAGAACCGTGACTCTATTGGAGTATATTGTAGCAGTGCTTTTCTTGGATCATATTCTACATGGAAGGCAAAAGACCAGAGCAGGGGCTTCCCAAGGGATTTCAAACCGTTTAGAAGGAGGAATACAGAGTAATAGTAGGTAGAGAAGTTGGGTATGGGTCACTGAGACAGGGTAATTTAACCTGCTGAAAATTGAGATATGTTATCCTTTGATGTGGAAAATCTTTATTAAAATTTAAGCCAAGCACCAAAAGCACTGTGGAGCTTGAAATTCCCTCTGAAACAGAGAACCCAGCAATAACCAAACACAATCATAGCCAAGAGCCTTTTTAACAAAGATGCAAAAACAATTCCGGGGAAGAAAGAGAGACCTTTCAAAACAAATGTGCTGAAGCAATTGGACAACCAGGAAGCAACAACCTGGACTTTGTCCTAACTCTCACACCTTGTTAACTTACAAAAATTAACTCCAAATGATTCATAGACTTATATGGAAAAGGGAAAACTTAAAAAAAAACCCTTTAGCATAAAACAAGAGACTATCTTAGGGAGTAGGGTTGGTGAACAATTCTTACTCAAGACATGAAAAGCCCAAAACTTAAATCTAAAAAGCGGAAAAACTGGATTTCTTCAAAACTAAAAACATTTGTTCTGTGAAGGACCATATTTAAAAAGACTATGACAAAAAGACAAGTTACAAATCAAAGAAAGTGTTTTTGAGTCATATATCTGATAAAAGACTCATATTTGGAAAGCATAAAGAACTCTCAGAATGTAAAATAAAAAAGTGCAAATAGAAAATAAGTAGAAGGCAGGAGATCTTTATCTGAATAGATTATGCAATTAGAAATTAAGAATATGAAAAGATACTCAACATCATTAGCTGCTAAGGGAATACAAATTAAGACCACAATAAGATACCACTATACATTTATTATTTTAGTTCAGCAAAAATAAAAATAGTAACAATGTTGGTGAATATAGGGAGAAACTGAATCTTTCATATATGGCTAGCCAGATCATAAAATGGTATTGTTATTATAGAAAATATTCTGGCAAGTTTTTTGTTTTTTGTTTTGCAATTTTTGTTTTGCTTTGAGTCCAGAGCATGTGCTAGGCTCTAACTCTGAGCTATACCTAGAGGCCAGTATAATAGTTTCTTAAAAGAAACTAAACATATATGTACCACATGGCTTAGCAATAGTGCTTTGAGGCATCTATCTCAGAGAAAGGAAAACTTACATTCACATAAAAAGCCTCCATACAACTCCTGATACTGGTAGCAGTTATTTGCAGTTATGTTCTGCAGTGGGTCAAGGATCTGACAAAGTGTGACTCGTTCCTACCATGGAATACTGCTCATCAGTAAAAGAGGAATCAACTGTTGATACAAACAAAAATGTGGCCTTATGCTGAGTGAAAGAAGCCAACCTCAAAAGATAAAAAACTGCGTAAGTGTATTTGGAGAACATTCTAACAATGTAAAAATTATAAAAACGGAAACAGTAGCAGTTGCAGAGGGGATGGTGTTAAGAGAGAGGACATTATTATAAAGTAGCATCAGAGGGAGATCTTTGCTGTGGAATGATTCTGTACTTTCATAGTGCTTGGACAAACATGTAAATGATAGAAAGACATTCCAAAACAAACACTTTACATCAGTGTCCATTTATTGGCTTTGTTGCTGTACTAGTGATATAACATGGAATCAACAGGGCGGGTACTTGGTGACATACAGAAGACCTCTCTGTATTATCTTTGCAACTTCCCCTGAATAAAATTAAATAAAATGTTTGAAAGAAAAAATCTCATTGAGGCATTGGTCCTTGCCGTTCTTTATGCTGTGTATTTTTTCTCCAAGAAATAAATTTTTCTTTCTTTTCTCTCTGTTCCCTTCCTTATATGTCCAGATTTTTTTGGGGGGCGGGGACTGGGGATCGAGCTCAGGACCTTGTACCTGAGAGGCAGGCAGTGGCACCATTGAGCTAGATCCCTGGCCCCGTTGAAAATTATTTTTAATTGGTCAAGTGTAATTCCCTGTACTCTTTTTAATCCTATTTTTTCAATAGGGTTATGTTTTTGTGCACTTGATTTTAAAAGCAGAAACAATTTTATTCTTTAAATTTCTTTAGCTCAGTGGTTTGGTGGCCTGCCTTGCAAGCGCAAGGACCCGAGTTCAATCCCTGGTACTCCCTGGCCCCGTTGAAAATTATTTTTAATTGGTCAAGTGTAATTCCCTGTACTCTTTTTAATCCTATTTTTTCAATAGGGTTATGTTTTTGTGCACTTGATTTTAAAAGCAGAAACAATTTTATTCTTTAAATTTCTTTAGCTCAGTGGTTTGGTGGCCTGCCTTGCAAGCGCAAGGACCCGAGTTCAATCCCTGGTACCAAAAATAAATAAAAAAATAAATAAATAAATAAATAAATAAATAAATAAATAAATTTCTTTAAAAATGAAACAAACTAATGTGGTTTTTATTTTATGTAATCTACAGTCTTGAAACACACACACACAAACGCACACTTCTTTTTTAGTCGTATTAGTGATGGAACCTAGCAGCACTCTTCCAATGAGATACAGTCCTAGCTTTTTATTTTTATTTATTTATTTGTTTATTTTTTTAGGTACTGGAGATCAAACTCGGGTCCTTGACCTTGGGAGGCAGGCTGTGACACCACTGAGCTAAATCCCCGGCTCTTTTTAAATTTTTTTTGAGACAAGGTCTCATTACATATTGCAAATAGGACTCGAAGTCACAATCTTTCTGCCTCAGCCTCCTTAGTCGCTGGAGTTACTTAGGAGCACCGCCGCTGGCAATGATTTTGTTTTATGTGCACTTGGTAATAATATAATGTTTGGGGGGCAGGGAGTGTAGCCCAGTAGTAAAGCATATATAACATGAACAAGGTCCTGGGGTCAATCCTCAGTACTAAAACAATAATAGTAATATCTGTGGTGTCCATACATTCTAATCATATATTCAAGATTTACTAAGTAAATAGAAGTATCGAGTATTATTTTCCATACACAATATATCAATGTATCAAAACATCACACTGTACGACATAAACATGTAAAATTAGGTACATTAAATATTTAAAAGTATTATGTTCCACAGTTTCATGTTAGTCCACATGTCAAAAAAAAAATTTGCCAGACTAGATTTTTCATGTGAAAGACATGATAATTATAACTACAAAATATCAAACTGAACACAGCGCTGTACAGAGGGCTTGCAAACAGAACCTAGCAACATTTTGGGAAAAAACTACTTTGTTTCTCAAGGACTCACAGAGCCCTCTCTTTTTTCCAATGGGTTTAGCCTCAGATAAGGCAGAGTTCTTTGAAAAATTGAGTTGGTATTCCAATTTTCAAGCACTTTCTTTGTTTTGTTTTGATTATCATTATAAATAATCAATCCTACCAACCAACATGGATTATTTATTGGGGTAGTATTTACACCTAATGTACTTCTGCATTTCTTTCTCCACTCTTTTGTAGACTCAAGCTTTAAAAGGAGAATAAACACCAACGGCTCCACTGTGTTGCGTTTGTACCGGCTTGAGAACGAAGGAAGTTAGACCCTTGTGGGGATCCGTCCTACCATCCGGCTGTTCGGCTGCAGCAACATGGCGGCGGTCTCAATGTCAGTGGCGCTGAGACAAGCGTTGTTGGGGAGAAGCGCAGTGGCTACAGCTGCCATTTCCATTTCCAGGGTTCCGACCAGGTAACATAATTGTCAGGCTCCTCAAGTCCTTCCACTTTTGCCGGGTCCCTGCTGGTGGAATCCGGGAGGAAGGTTCGGAGAAGGCGTCCACCGTTGACCCTTTCCGCGGGAGGGGCGGGCGGACCTGGGACTGCGTTCGAGGCGCTCTTCAGGCGAGTAGAGGCTTGAATGTAAGGTGGGGGGATCTCACACTTCTTGGAAACTTTTGGTCTGTTCAGAGAGAGCGAGTCTTTGTCCCAGAGCTGTGAGACGAACCTTAGCGCCCAGGGGAGAATCTCGATAATTTCTCGCTCCACTTTTCACATCCCTTCCAGTTGTCACCTGTTAGCGCACCACTTCAGTCCTTGCTGGAAGGTCAAACCCATGGATCTCCTCCATGGCTTACGTGGTGTTCATTGGTTTTCTGACAGAAAGATGGTTTTATTCATCATTCTGCACGGGAAGAAAACTTTTTCGGAATCCAGTGTTAGTAAAATGTTATTTCTACTAATATTGGAATTTTAACTTTTTTCCTCTCTGGGGATGGAATCTAGGACCTTCCATGTCTAAGTATGAGCTCTTCCTCTGAACTACAACCCCAACCCAGGAGGATAATTTTTTAAAAGGCTGGTATTAGTATCGGGAGATTTCCCATCCATCCACAATTTTACTAAAGCGATACAATAATTTAGAGATTGTTATTGTATTGCCTTGAAGCACTTTTATGATGGTTATTTTTAAATGCATTGCCTAATCCTTCATTTCCACATTTCTCCGATTTTTCTTGAATTTATTGTAGTACTACCACCATGTACACAATTAGCGTGTTTATTCGCGAAGTAGTATGTTTTGTCGCTTTTTTCACAGCCTGTTATATAAATGAGGCTTAATATTTAAAGTCTGCTGCATGATCTGGAGACCATTAAATGATTAGTGTAATGATAGAAAGATGGATTGAAGTGTGGGCTGGAGAGGTGAGAAACATGGCACAAATGTGAGTGGTTAAAAATTTAAAAGGATTTATTCAAGTGCTTATTAGCTTTATGTTACACTGTCAATATAAAAGGAATACAGAATTAAAACGAGTAATTAGAAAGAGCTTTTGGAGGTGAGTTTTATTAAGGTTTTCAATAGGTATTATTTGAGAAAGGTGTCTTAGGTTCTGGTTTATGAATGATTTGAAGGTGATAGGATAGTACTTATATGTGTGTACTACATATGTGGTATAGAGTCAGTGAAAAATGGAGTCTCAGATTGGGGGAAAGGTAAAGGATATATTTTAAGTGTTCTACTTCCAGGCAATTTAAGGAATAGAAAGTAGCTCTCTCAGGTAAATTACCCACTGGTTAAGTCTTAATATGATTTAGTAACAGTAAACCATTTCTTTTCCTTTAGCTGTTATAGGGCAGTGGGGGTGGCAAAACTATGGCATACCTGTTATTTGTTTTTCTTTTAAGACAAAAGATGCTAATGTATGAGTTGTTTTTTCAAAACCAACACCTCAGTATTCAGGTTTAATTGCAGTGTTGGCACTTTGCAGTAAATAAGTGGGTTTTGGGTTAAAGTTTGGGCACTCATCTCTAAGAGGTTCGCCATCACTGTTACAGGGAATAAATTTTGCATTTACAAATATTAGTGTATTCAGAATAGCCTTAGAACTAAAAATAAGTTTGAGGACCATTATTGTATGATTAATTACAACATGTCTGCATATCTAAGTTTAAGGCATAACTTTTTGTCAGCAATTATTGTAGTTGAAATTAAGACAATATTAGAGTTTGGAAACTGATGATAATTATTACAGTACATCCAAGCTTATGAGTTTCTGCTTGAAAATTGTTAGATTTGAAACTAAAATTTTAAGTCATGTGGGATAACCTGTTTCATATGCAGTGGATCCTTAACTTACGAACTCAATAGATTCCCTGGGGCTGGTTGTAATTCAAGTTGATAGTAAGTCAGTACAGCTGACATCTGGATGTTTACCTTGGTACACACTATACATAACAAGAGGCAGATGAATCTTCTATTAACCTAATTAACCCAAGTTGTTTGTATATCTGGCTGGTCATAACTTGAGGGTCCATACATATATCCTTGATTGTTGGCCAGTGACATCTCTGTGGAAATGATGTACCACACTAGACTGAAGTTTTAAGAGCTGTTCCATACTTTGGCATGTTCCTTTTCTCTCGGCTGTGAGACGGTCATATCCCAGGTGGATCTGCTTTTTCAGCTCAGATCCTGGAAATAATGACCACATGGAGCAAGATGGAAGTTGATTCTTTAGAATTAAGTATATAAAATATAAATTGAATGAGATATCTTTGCTGTAAGCCACAAAGATTGTTGATTCCTGCTGTATAACAACCTATATACTGACTTTTTATTTACACACATTTGCAAATGAGGTTTTATAACACATTCTGTTACATCAGTATTGAGATCACAAGCCTTTGAGGGCTGGAACAAATTTTTATTTATATTGCTTCTAGCATAATGGTGTGCACATAGCAAGTAAATGCTTATCACATAGATAAATAAATACATATTTAGAGATGATTGATTGGTTGAGGGCAAACAACAAATCAGAGGCAGTATTTTCTATTAGTAGCCTCATCAGTGCAAATCAGATAGGCACCAGCTCATGTCAGTGTGAAAAAAAAATATCTACAGTACATATTTTTTCCTAATTATTTGTAGTTTGACTTTAGGCTATTCATCCTGAACTCTTAATTTCTGGATTGAAGTTGTCTTATGAGTAGATTTTATACTCTACACTTTGACAAATGTCCCGACTCTTTAATGTTCAGATTTTAAAAAGCAAGGTGGCCTCAGGATGCTCATTTTAAATGAGAGCTCCTTTGGAATTAGAGTAACTTAAATTCACCTGAAGTTTTTAATAAATATGGGAACGTAGTGGAGAAAGATGGATCAACTTGGTTTATGTGTATCACCTGTTAGAAGAGGTTTGTTTGGGAATGGAGTAAATGTAGAATTCAGACAGAATTGAAACAAATACATTTCAAGTAGAAAAGCTTCTAAAATTTATCATAATAGGTAGAAATTGAATATCATTGTTACGGTATCCTGAGCACAAATCAGTAATAGGTAACATTTACTTTTAGCAGTATATCATTCAATGTGCCAAGGATTTCTTTTACATCATTATATATATTTCCCATAGTAACCCCATGAATTTGACAGTTTCTGTCTTCATTTTTCAGGAAACAGGACAAAAGTGAAATGACTTAAGTTTACATTGATAGAAAATATATTTAATCATCTAAATGAATCTATTGACTTTTGCAATGAGGAATATTATTTCTCATAATAAATAAATTGAAACCCCACTTTTTTTCCTGCCTTAGCAAGATATATATCCTTATTTTAAAAACTTAGCTTTTACTTTATTATTTCTTCTATACAGGGAGAGGAATTAATAATTGGGAGGGGCTGAGCTAAGGATATTTTTCCTAAAGTTTCGATAACTTCACCCTCTGAAACAAAAACACATTATGTATTAAATGAGGTATATTGAACATATTTTTTTTCTTTTTTTCTTACTCCAGTGATCATTAGGAAAAAATTATTGCATTCTACTGCCTTTAAAAACTATCAAGTATACCTTTTGAGTTCTTGTGTCTGCCGTTTTGTTTCATTTGCAGTACTTTGAAATGAGCCATCAGTCCAGCCCTTCTTCTATTTTCTATTTTAAGACAGGGTCTCACTAAGGTTGGACTCAAATTTAAGATTTTGCTGACTTAGCCTCCTGAATGGTTGGGATTACAGGCATACACCACTGTGCCTCGATCTTGTGTCTGCTTTTTAATCTTCTTACATTCTTCTTTGACCATCCTGCTTCTTTTGGCAGTTTTACCACCCCTTTTCATTTCTCATGTGCTTAAATATCAAGCAACTAAACCTATTAAAAAGTATAAAATCATGTAGGCTTAATGAAGCTCTGATGATGGTTAGACTTTATAGTGATTAAAATCTTAAATTAAAATCTTTTAAGGTTGGCAAATTATTACTAGTAATACTTGAGCTCTTATAACTTCTTTTATTAGTTTGCAGAGTTCATCTAAATCTGGTACTTCATTGTACTTGGATTATGCAGCGTCCACAGTCACAGCACTTTCATAAAAATATTTGTGTATTTTAGCAAATTATTCTAACTCATTTTTTATGCTATAAGCAATGACAGCAATTCAGAGGTCTTGTTTCAAGTTGTAGTCTTTTATTTTTATTTTACTTTTCTGGAACTGGGGATTGAACTGGAAGGATCTTTACACTAAGCTATATCCTTAGGCCTTTTTAAATTGTTTTATTTTGAGGCAAAATTTTTCCTCAACCTGTCACTTGCCTAGTCTGGGCTCAAACTAGTTAGCCTTCTGCCTCAGCCTCCCGGTGTACTGGTATTACAAGTGCGTGCCACTATACCTGGCTCAAGTTCTGTTTTAATCTTTGAGTATTTTAGTAGGTAAATATAACCTTAAATTCTTTAGAATTAGTTGCTCAAAGGTGATCTTAACAAACTTAATTTTTTTTTATGGCATAATTCTTCAGTTTAGTGGCTTTAAGTGTTTATTGTCTATCAAAATCACCTGTTTGCTGTGCAGTACCATGATACAAAATTCAGATGTCTTGGCCCTAATCTGTTGGTTCTGTATGTTTGGCTTGAGGCTTACCTTTGATTGGAAGATCTGATTGGTGATTCTAATTGAAAACTACCAATTAAAAAAAAGTTTTTGTGTTATATCTATAAAGACTTGAAAAAACACTGTACACTTTTCCTTGGTAGAGTGGGTAGGGAAGATTTACAGAACCAAAATTGCTTCCATTTTGCATATTTTCCTAATCTAAATTAAGGCTTTTCATCTGTGTACTCTGCAGAGGCTATTTCTAGAGGAAAAATTTTTAGAGGAAAGAAGGCTTTTTGAAAATTTTGGAGAAAGTGGGCAATGTTACTCCACACTAGAGACTCTTGTTCTTCCTTTTGGAAGGGCTGAGGTTTAATA